GAAGCAGGACCGGACAACATTCCAGCAGAGGCACTGAAAGCAGATGTAGCGGCAACTGCAAGGATACTCCGCATTCTCTTCAATAAGATTTGGGATGAGGAACAAGTACCAAAAGACTGGAAAGGACTTCTGGTCAAAATACCGAAGAAAGGCGATCTCAGCAAATGTGATAACTACAGGGGCATCACTCTTCTCTCAATACCGGGAAAAGTCTTCAACAGGGTATTGTTAAACAGGATGGACTGTGTAGACGCACAACTTCGTGACCAACAGGCAGGATTCCGTAAGGACAGATCATGTACAGACCAAATCGCAACCCTACGGATCATTGTAGAACAATCAATTGAATGGAACTCATCACTCTATGTCAACTTCATCGACTACAAAAAGGCATTTGATAGCGTGGACACGACAACACTATGGAAACTTCTTCGACACTACGGCGTGCCTCAGAAGATAGTCAATATCATACAGAACTCATATGATGGATTACACTGCAAAATCGTGCATGGAGGACAGTTGACAAAGTTGTTCGAGACGAAGACCGGTGTCAGGCAAGGTTGCTTTCTCTCACACTTTCTCTTTCTCCTGGTGATCGACTGGATCATGAAGACGTCAACGTCTGAAGGGAAGCGCGGGATACAATGGACATCTAAGATGCAGTTGGATGATCTAGACTTCTCAGACGATCTGGCCCTTCTATCCCAAACGCAACAACAGATGCAGGAGAAGACGAACAGTGTGGCAGCAGCCTCAGCAGCAGGTCTCAATATGCATAAAGGGAAAAGCAGGATTCTCCGATACAACACAGAATGCACCAATCCAATCAAAATTCACGGAGAAGACTTGGAAGATGTAAAAACCTTTACGTATTTGGGCAGCATCGTTGATGAACATAGTGGATCTGATGCAGATGTGAAGGCGCGGATCGGAAAATCAAGAGCAGTATATTTACAACTGAGGAACATCTGGAACTCAAAGCAACTGTCAACCAACACCAAAGTCAGGATTTTCAATACAAATGTCAAGACAGTTCTACTGTATGGGGCAGAAACCTGGAGAACTACGAAAGACATCATTCAGAAAATACAGGTGTTTATTAACAGTTGTCTATGCAAAATACTTCGGATCTGTTGGCCGGACACTATTAGCAACAACGTACTGTGGGAGAGAACAAACCAGATCCCAGCGGAGGAAGAAATCAGGAAGAAGCGCTGGAAGTGGATAGGACACACATTGAGGAAAGCACCCAACTGCGTCACAAGACAAGCTCTCACATGGAATCCTGAAGGCCAAAGGAAAAGAGGAAGACCAAAGAACACATTACACCGGGAAATGGAGATAGACACGAGAAAAATGAACAAGAATTGGATGCAATTAGAAAAGAAGGCCTAAGACAGAGTGGGTTGGAGAATGCTGGTCGGCGGCCTATGCTCCATTGGGAATAACAGGTGTAAGTAAGTAAGCAAGTAATTTACTGCTAGAAATGTATCGTGAATATCATTTTTAAGAAAGTTTATCAACAAATCACAAGAACAGATGAACAGCTTTTCACAAAACAAACATAAAGGGTGGCGGAAATAATACCTTGTGAAAACCAGATGACTAATCAGAACAGATAGAAAGGACTTAAAGTCTTCTCTCGTTTAACTTACATATTACCAGTAGCCAAACATTCGCGTCGTATTTTCGAGGATTATTATGCAACTGCCAACCCTGCAGAGCTGCTGAAATCTCAAATATTTTAATTATTTAAGGTTTCAAACTATGGAACGACAACAAAAGTCCAAAATGGAAGCTCATTCAAACTACGATTATTGGGAACATTAACAATAAGCTTCAGCCTTGTGCATTAAGTCCGCAATTTTGTATAAAATGTGTATTTTAATAAATAAGTGTACTGAAGATAACACATTGGTGAACGCAATTCTGTAAGACGGTATATTCGTCAGAAGATGTGGTTGCACCGCACCTGGTTTAAGACCGTTACCGTCAACTAGGTGTCCAATAGATCCAAAATCAAATACATAAAATGGGCACTTATTCGGACTCACCGTAATATTCTTCTCAACTAAACAACGCACTAAAGCCAAAATACTCTGGTCATGAACCACCTTATCAGAACCATGAACAATGAGATCATCTTGATAAACCTCAACACCTTCAAGTTCGCTGACTACCTTATTCATCAACTACTGATTTCGGGGGTTTATTTACCTACGCGCACCAAAACTGGTACAAGTGAAGATTTCTTATACCCAAAACACGAGAAACACAACCGATGTATACAATGGTTTATCTATTTTGAATATTAAGTAGAATGAAATCACATATTTAAGAAAATTCCCAGAGTTATAACAAGCTACATACTGCATATCATGCTGAGCATAGTTCATAGTATATCGTGTCTTGAATTAATATCACAATCAAATACATTAGTGTTACGCTAAATAAAATACCACACTGAAAAACAAACAAATATTCTTTGAATAAACATCATATGAAATTAAAATACGGGAACGATGTTGAACGAAAATCACACTAAGTAAAAAAGATGTAATTTCGCATCATTCATTCATATCACTAAGAAAGACTGGAGCATCCTGTACTTACAGTTTTATAGGCTAAATTTTAATCCATCCACTGGCTTTATTGCACACAGCTATCAAACCTTTAAGTAAAGCACCAAAATCTTCTGAAGAAGGCGACATAACTTAAGCCTTTTCAAATTCTTTGATCCCAGTAGTGACATCCTGTTTCACTAAACAGACCTACAAATCATGTATGAGGAATTACAATCAATAACAAACTATTTGAATGAATGGATTCTGTGCTCCCTGTGTCAGCAAAAGTCATGAAACAAACGAAGAGAGATATATGATCGCCTATAGATGTGGGAAATGCCCTTCGAAATTGCCGATCGTTAGAAACACTTAACTCTATAAAATCCTAATTAGTGTTTGTTATCTGTGATAATTAGGAATATTTGAATTATAGTAAAAGCTAGGAATCCCAGAAATAACGCAACTTAAGTACGAAGGAATCATCAGTCAGTAAAAACACCACAACCGGAAAACAGATAAGTTTCACTGTCATTCGAAAGTTTCATTACCGTTTTTCGTTAAACCAGGAACCTTAACTCCCAATTCTGGAGGAGCACTATAAGTTTGCTCTCCATCGGATGGTTCGGAAAACTAGTCCCACGAAACTCTATGTAGTATTGACACTAGGCTTCGCTAGCGTCACCTGGCGCACTAGAGTGTAGCGAGTACAAAGTAACTGGATCCTCAAAAACAGTTCATTTTTCTAGGTCAAATGATCTAAACAATGTGAAAAGAAACTGGCTTTGTCAGTAACGTCCCTTAGCAAACTCCGTTTATTAGCATTCTGACGTAAGCTACAATACCATAAGCGATTTGTTTTGACTTTCAGTGAATTGCCTCATTGAAAATAATTCGTGAAATATTGTGATGCTACTTGGAGCCCTGATTTTTCAGGATGAACGTCCATGTAATGATGATTACCAGTCAAGAAACAAAATCCAAACAGTAAGGAAAACTTTTGGAGAATTTGTTATATATATATATATATATATATATATATATATATATATATATCAATATATATATATCAAAATAAGCATTAAATTGATTACCCAGGTGTTCTCAAGGCTTTTACTTTTCGTAGGACATCAATCATGTTTCTGATAGTGGTGTGGCATTCGCTAAATTTAACTTGTGTATGGTCAGAGAGCCTACTTTCCACAACTGATCGATACAAACAAAACAGACTGGCAATAAATGTCAAGTCAAGTTACATTTGAGGCTAACTACAAAACCAATCTTTCCAGGTCTTGATTGAATTACATCCTCGCCCCCTATTAAATCCTGTAACACAGGGATACTCATAAGACACTAGTTATAGTTGAGTTTCTTGATATCGAGAAAAGACCGTGTTCTGAGAGTTTGTTAAAGACAGCTAGCGCCAAGCTTACTATTGAAAACGAGAGGAGCCATACGTAAACCTCCCCTCAACTGTTCAGTCGAAAAGGGAGACAAATTTTATTACTCTTTCAACTCCCCCAACGAGATCGATCTACAAACAGGTCTGAGGTAGTTGTGTGAATGGTATAAGTAGAACGAATCTGAGTAAACATATAAAATTGCATAACTGAGACCGTGGCCATCCACATAGCACGTATTTATCGGAAACTAGTACTCGTATAGAAAGCACACAATTTTCAGCTTCCAAAAGTTTAGTACTGCTTGAACAATAGGAGGATTCTCTCTGAAAATACTCCTTATGGGAAAGAGTTGGAAGTAACTGAAATATCTGTACTCTTGCCAGATTTGGCGATGGGGTACAGCATCACTCAACTCATAGGAGGGGATAATGGCTTATGTCAACCCGACCAGTAGTTGGTGCCTTCGTGATGTTAGTCTGGTTGTGAAAATTTATATTTATAACACAAAAGATGGCAGTTACAAACAGAAGGTAATGTACCTTGTATTTTCTTAGATAAGCACTTCTCGTGCTCACTCACTGATCGTACGGCTTTTATCACTTTGTAGTAAGATTTCTACGTTTGCGTGATACATACCTGGTCCACGTTATACAATAGTAAACGCACTCTAAATAAAGATAACATACCTTAAAAGCGAGCCACTAAATCAAGAACTCAAAAATATCACGTGATCGATGAACACGGTTGGACATCTGTTTCATAAAGATTAGGTTATTAGCCGATCTGTATGGTTGCATCGTCTGTGTATTAATACCGTTAAGTAGTACGAATCCTGCTCAAATGGCAATACAGACGTTCAAACGACCACATACAGTCAAGAAATAACATACACCACGTAAAAACACACTGAAATTATATGCATCGGCCGGAATGAACTCTTAATATGAGGATGAATCTTACTGTAACGAATTAGATAAACTCATAAAATTATAAATCCTATGATAACACGTAAGGTACCAACGGAAAACGCAATAATAGGTAAGAAAAATTACTATTAGTAGAAGAATCACGTCAAGAAAATATTGTGATTCAGATTGCGAAATAGTAAAACTAGTCAATAACATTCTGTTTACATTCCCGAGAAACGTAAAATTGGCCTGAAGATCATTTAGACCACCTGAGCACCTTCCTTTCGTAAACGAATTGATTAATTGGTTCCTTTGATTCAATAGGTAAAGTGGCCAAGTAAAAAGGTGTATCAGCACCTAAAATAATAAACACAACAAAAACTTAATATTAGTCAGGTGTAAATCACTGATAAATGAAATCCCTCAAATCATACAAACAAGATAATGACCAAAAGAAACTTAAGAGGCATACTAATATCCTTCGTTATATTTGGAAATATTCTGAAAAATATCTCCCGGTAAAAGATATGGGAAGATGCATGAGTTACAATTTTGGAACTTGTGCAACTGACAGCTAATTTCAATATGAAGTGTCGTAGCTAGATTATATTGTGAAAGTATACGAATTCATAGAATGTTGAGTAGTTCTTTGATCCACAGTACAGAAAACTAAATATTTTATGAATATGATTACACAAATGTTTGTATGTGTGTATCGACAGTTTTCTAAATGTCCTTTTTAACGATTGATTTATCAACGAAATCATTGATACATACAGGAAACGTGTTAACCGATTACCGAGACAGGTGGCTAAATAGCGATTTACACGTCGATCCTATTACTAGAGAAACGATATTAATTTTATATCTCATATGTAATTCAAACTGACTACACGCAGATATTAGTAACCTTTCATTTAATTACTTGAACGAGTTTAATGATTGTGAAGAAAGGTTAGCTAATTAACATCCCTGTCTCCAACCACTATTCACCTAGACCCTTCTCCCATCAATCAAGGCGTCATTTTATCCTGTCAATTAAATGCTTATTATAATACCCATAAAAAGGGAGGAGTTGGTTGAGGAATTGCTGGGTAAACCCAGAGAGTGGAAGCTATGCCTAGACCGACGGATTTCCTCGCACTACGATGCTTTATGGGACCTATTATGGTGCATCTATTCCTAACCTTCATCGCCTACGTGCCCCGTTAAATAAGACCCTGTCAAAGAACATAAAATTGGATTGGTCGAAAAGTTGTCAAGGTGCTTTTGAGAAAATTAAAAAACTACTAGTCTCGAATCTGTTGCTTGCCCAATACGATACATCCTTACCAATTGCGGTAGCATCAGACGCTTCGAACTACGACATTGGGGCAATTACTTTTCATATCATGCCCGATGGATCTGTGAAAGTAATATCACATGCAGCTGTGTCGTTAAATACAACTACAACAGGACGTAACTGCAGCCGGATAGAGAAGGAAGCATTGTCAAGTATCTTCGCCATAAAGTTTCACAAGATGACATTTGGACGTCAGTTCACTTTCTTAACTGATCATAAGCAATTGCTGACCATATTTGGATCGGAGAAAGGGATTCCGGTATATGAAGCAAACAGACTGCAACGATAAGAAACCACACTCTTGAGTTATGACTTCAAGTACCAACCCACTACTGATTTTGAACAGGCTGACGCCTTGTCTAGACTGATTGGTTCACAAGTAAAATAGGAAGATACTTTTGTGGCAGCAATTGAGATGGAAACAGAAGTACACTGAGTATTGTAAGACGAAGTCAATGGTTTACCAGTTACTTCCAAAGCTATCAAAGAACCCACGGATGATGACAAGACATTAAGAGAAGTTACGGGTTATCTCCTCACCAAGTAGTCAAACAGTCGTTTTCAAGGAGAACTGCTACAGTATTTTCGCCGGCGGGACACATTCATGATTTTTGACTCATTTATTATGCCCACTGACAAAATCGTTGTCTAAAAAAATAACGTCGATTCCACAATGTACATTCCGGCATCAACAAGAAATTATTGGCTCGAAGATTTGCTTACTGGTCTTGCTTACTGGCTCAAGATATCGAATACCGCGATTGTTCATCACATCTGCAAGCAACCAAAAGTCCAAATAAATGTGAACCACAACAACAAAAAAGTGCAGTAGTCCCTGGGAGAGGCTACATGCAGATCTTGTCAGCCCAGTGGGAGGAAAATAGTTTTTAGTCACAGCAGATGTACCTACGAAATAGCCACAAATCTATACTATGGTAAATTGCACAGCCAATGAAACGATCAGCAAATTATTTGAATTGCTTAACTGTCTTGGAGTTCCGAAGACTTTGGTAACTGACAACGAGTCACAATTCACTTCAGAATCATTCAAGTACTTCTGCATCATTAGCGGAATTACACATATACACTCTCCACCTTATCACCTTCAGTCAAATGGACAGTTAGAAAGCTTTATCGATACATTCAAAAGAGCATTACTGAAAGAGAGACGAGGGGACAATTCAGGTAATTGCAAATTTTTTAACAGCTTACAGAACTGGGCCCAACCCTATTGTCCCAGATGGGAAGTCTGTTGATGAAGCTGTGTTCGAAAGAAGTATTCGAACTCTATTCGACGCCACGTTACCACCTAAATCAGTTAACGTATGTAAGTTACATCAGAATATCTGAAGTTTTAATGTGAGTGATAGTCATCAAGTCATACCTTGGAAAAAATCGATGGGAACCTGTAGACATTGGAAAAAGAATGGGAAATGTTTTGTACAAAATGCGTGGGACAATTGGAAGGCGGATTAGATACATCAATCAAATCCACACAGAAAAAAGGACGTTGAACACTGTAGACAGACGAGTGAGTCATCCAATGGAGATACTTGCAGATAACCCAACGACAGGAACGCCCAGGGACATTCGTAGTTAGAGAACACCAAGGAAATCGGAACGCCGCCGAAAACCAGTTATCAAGCTGCAATTAGACCCAAAGAAGTTTAATTTTTGAAAGGAGGAAGGTGTTTGGGAGACTCAGGATATTCCTCGAAAAATATCTAAAGGAGCCCTCGAAACGCTAGCAAGCACTATATTCAATCAGCATCGAATAGAAGCATTTCAGAAACATCTAGAAAGTGAAGAGTCACGTATCACATTTCTGATTGGATGATTAACTATCCTGCTACTATGTTTCCTAGGGTTCGATAATCTCCAGAAGCTCAGGCCTATCTGAAATACTATAAATACCTTCAATTTTCTGTACATAAACTAAATTTTGAGTAAAGCGTTCTCTACATGGCTTGCGCTTTTTCTCTTGTGTTCAAATGGTCGTGTACATTTAACTTAGGGGTTACTAGAAGAGTTTAGAAAACCGATTCAAGCGTTCAATCAAAAGATTCATCAGGAATATCAGTTTTACTCAGCGTAGTTGTCACCCTCTGCGACCAACAACTCGAGACATAAATTTCTGTCTCAAAGCGAAGTTTTATCCGTTCGTCTAGAGATCCTGTTGGTAACGTTCGTGAATCCTAAGTATTTTTTGGCTGATAGAAGGCTTCTATGCAGTATCCAGATGGTCAATGAGTCATTATCACGAATTGCTGAGTAGCAATTATGAGAAAGACCACCAATTCGATCGCTTGACAGCCAAACAGAACAATATGACTCATTCTTTACTGATCTTCGAACATACAGCTTTTGTTGTCATCGATTTTGTATGTGAAAGTCACGTAAATAAAATAATCGCCGATGTCTTTGATATGCGACAGTTTATTTGAACGATCGAAAATTTCAGGTCAGTGTAACCCTGATTATCTCTACTCCGTACGTAATTTTGAGGCACATCGTGAAGTGAACGGTTTTCTGGAACAGTACATTTTTCCAAAATTATATCAAAACAATGTAGCTCGTCGATTTTCCGATGTCATAGATTTTGATGTTACCTACAACTGCAGTAAGAACGGTATGTCTCTATACGAAATAGTGGCACTAGATGATTTCATGAAGACAGTGCCAGTAGCATTTAGATTTATGGATAGAGAAACTTCCGAGCTGACTAGTAGGTTCTTAGTCTTTCTTAAGATAGTTTCGTCAGGGATACCTGTGGGATTTTTCATTAATGACAACAGTCCCGCCATAAACAATGCACTATCTGCCAACTTTTCGCAAGCGCATTGTGTTATGCAGAATCCCGACTGTTGCTACTACCCTGACTTGGTGGTCGGGCTTGCCTATCGTGATGAACCAATCGGGTTAAACTGGCTGGAACACTCGTTCATCAAGGTTCTGCCATACCAGACAGGTCGGTTGAAGAACGTTAAGACTAAAAGTAACAAACCCAAGGTCCGAAGGTGAAGTCGTACTGCTGAGTGTACACAGGTGTGACAGTAGTAAGGTGGATCTCTCAGACAACCACCATGACAGCAATGCTGCCTTCCCACAAGGAGGGGTGGGGTTAGAAAAGGTCGACCCTAGAAATGCACACCTTGTCTTATCCCATGGATATCCGTCTCCGGCGGTAAGGTCTAAACAAGTACGGAGCTAACACAAAAATTACTCACCAAAAGGTTGTGTGTGACCGACCTCAAGCAGTTGTCCCTTGGGCACTGTGGTCACGCTCTCATGTCACTAAGACCAACTCTAACTCTATTTCCTTTTCAGGTATCTCTAGAAGAACCCTTTCACGGTATGGGCAACTGGAAAGTGAAAACCGTCCTAATGTCTCTAACAGCACTCAAGACCACGGACTAACTGAATTATGTAGAATACATGTAATACGTAATCTCCTTCGGGGAAGGAAGAGGTACGTTTACTGTGTTTAACTAACAAGTCGCTCATAGAATATCTCATCTAAAACATTTCGACAATTTCTTTGTCTAATGCATACGAAAAACACTGGACGGTAAGTGTAAACTTACCTTAATGCACAAATTTGTGTAGAATCAACTCTAACAAAAACGATATTGAAGACGACAATTTAACATTTTCCCACAACCCAAAAAATAACTTTCACATTAAGAGTTTGAACCATGAGAAATGCTCTTAATGCGAAATAACACGAACTTCGTGGCACAACGCACAGGATGATAATGTTCAGCCTCAACTCTAAATGTCTTGTCTTGTGTTGTGTGTTCCATTTATTTTTAAGGAGTGGCTACTGGCTGCATGCTAGACTGCATGAAATGAGGAAAGAAATGTTTTAAAAAAGTGTTGTTCCATAAAGGTCCGAATGAATAGAGATCTATTTCTTACACCATGGAAACGTATTATGTATCGTTAGGGTTGTTATTACTATATACATAAGCCTATGTGACTTCTACAGGATGTGCAGACAAAAAGGCGTGAAAAATGAATAAGCTAATATTGGGTTGTAGTGTGAATAGAATATGAATAAAATGTTTTCGCCACAGTAATTAAAGCCATTGGAAGAATTAAATGAAATGATATCAGACATCATTACGTGAAAAAATTTTGAGGATATGATAAACAATAATGCGGGAAAACTTTTCAAATAAAAAATCAATTAAATGAAAATATGATAATGATAACGTTGTGAGGCCACTTGATAACTTCGAATAAATTGAGCATTGGGTAGATTGTTATAAATAAAATAATATATTTGTAGTATCTCAATGAGTAAAAAGATTAGATTTTCTGACGTTTCGTGACTTCGTGCAAGCTACTTCTTCAGAGAATAAATATTTTATATCTAATTTTTCTACTCATTGGGATACTACAAATATATTATTTTATTTATGTTGTGAGATCACTTTAAAGATAAGAATAAGATAGGCTTCGTTGCACAAAACAATCAGTAATTAACTTTTTACTTCGTTGATTTTTAATTTGAAAAACTTCCTTATTTAATATTATCTATTAAATCTTGATTATTTTATATTTGAATGTTTTTGATATCGTTTCGTTTAATTCATTCAGTGATTTTAATTATTGTAACAAAATATTTAAATTATCATACTACATTAATACTATAATTTAGTGTTAACTTAATAATATTATGCCCGTCCTGTCATTTACACAGAATCTGTAGAACTTTCACTACCTTTTACTAATATTATAATTGTCAGATATGTATTTCCTGTCTGCATTCTCTTTTTTCCGTTCCTCTTCTCTATATTGTATGATAATACTTACTAATTCTCAGTGATCAGTCTTATTTTTAATAACTTTTGAGGGCAGGAGATAAACCTCACGTTGTTATCTAAGTATATAGTAGTCAAAAACTACAGTTATGTTTTAGTTGATTTGGTCACGTAATTGTAGATATTTTGGAATAGTTTCCATTATAGAATTAGTTGGAGGTATGAATTTTGCTGTGTTGCAGTTTTTTTTATCACAAATGACTGTGCTACACTTGACACCGTAGCATGATGGAGTGGCATTTTCGTCATAGAAAACTTTAGATTTTTCACGCAAGACAGCAAAAATGACAAAGAACGAAACAAGCTCTACGATAGCATTGATGATGATCCTCGCTTCAATTTTGTTGGTTGTCAGGTGCAATGTTAAAATTGCGAACGAGAGTAGAGTTATCCTCAGTCCTTTTAAGCACTTTGAGTATTATGTCTACCAGTTATTGTATAATGTTTTATGTATTTACATAGAATGATGACATTCAATTTATTTATTGTTATAACTTCATTTTATTAATACTTGAATAATTTACTCCAGATTCAATCGTATTGACTAAACATTTGTTTTATCATAAAAACTAAGATTTCAAGGGTTTCTCGTTTTCCTTTTGAAATTGTCTGCTTCTGTAATTTCGACACAGCTAACAACTGTCATTTGCTTATTCCATGTTGTAACAAGTAACCTTAAGTCGATTTTAGCAAGCAGCCTCCTATGATTATGCCAACACGGTAAGTACCATAGCCCTTCGCAAATTGAAGTTTGTAATCCATTCCATGCATGTTCATTATAACAGTATAGCATTTTCAGAAAAACTTGAGTTTTTGGTCACCAGACTTTACACGTCACTTAATCGTGTGATCAAAAGGTTCGATTACTGCGAAAACACTAACGAAGTTAGCAATATTATATTCAGGAATTTTGTTAGAGTGGATAGATTTGCTTATTTACATTTTAAGGTAACAGTTGTGTACGAGGTACTTCGGACGGTCCTTTCGACATTATGGAGATCATATATAAGAAAGAACATGTCTTTTTATAACAATTAAACCTCTTACACACAATCAGTAAAATAATTAAATAAGCTTACGAACTGATTGCACATGTTATGCGTGGTCATTAAAAAATGATAGATAGAAAAGGAAAATAATATCTGCATTAATAAAATGATTCTTTGGAAATTATTTATCGGTTTATATCACGACTGTCAGTCATATCTATTTTCTATTGACGTTAGGAGTGTAACTCAATTCCTCAAGTATTAACTATATCACAAAAGTAAAAATCATAACAGATATGCGAACGTTTAGAGGTTCTGACTAAAAAAACAGTTGGACACTCACCCTCATCAGCTGTTTTCGTTCCCTTGTGACTAGTCATATCAGTATCGCAATAACCAGGACAACACTGTCAAATTAATAATAAAAAAACTCAAAATTAATTCTTTTGATATGATTATATCAGGTGTGATGAAAACCTAGTAATTTTAATCTGGAAACAAACTTTTAAATAACCTAATTTAAATTTTGGGATTAACAAATTGTTTTATTACTGTATGTGATCATTACGTAGAACAACATTCATGAACGATAAATTCAACAGAAAATAATCTTAAGAATTAAATTTAAGTACATAGGATAAGAGTATTATTTCCCTTAAATGGCGTACATGTTGAAACTGCAAATAATTAGCATTTTAAAGATCACTTTGTTCGAACTAATTAACTAAGAAATAAGGATAAATAGATGCTCTCAAAACTAACCATAAACACATAGAGCTCAAAGAATATCAAACTCAAAGAAAATGATGGAAGTAGGTTAAATACAAATTGTCAGCTTTTAGAGGAAAAGGATAACTATATTATTGATATTATTATTATGTTAACTAACAAAGATAACTTTATACAATATGATGTGGTAACCAATTCATTATTACATGAATAAATCCAACGAATAACTTGATTGAATTATTTCTCGTTCTATGCTACTCTGATTGTAATTCAAGAATGGATATCATTCGCTACCAATCTAGAACTTATACATCATAAGTCAGGTTAACTCATCCAACTTTTATATAGATATTTCTAAACTTGACTAATGAGAATGTATTCAAGTTTGAAAATGTGACAACCTTATTAGAAAACTCTAGAAAACTACTTTTGCTTTAAATGGAGCAATTTTCCCGTTAACTTAATGCTTTTAATATCTATAAAACTTATGTCTGAAATAACCTCAACCAACTGATATTTAGAAAATTGCAGCGTTTCACCCGACAAACTGACTTGAGTTTCCTCAGCGAAATAATTGAAATCAGGACTATCAAAAATAAATAAGGTTTACAAACGAATTGTTCGTTCTCATTTTAACGAATGTGGACATAAACTCTCATGATAAAGTTGGTTTTTTCAGTAGTAAATTGTAGTGTTTACATTGATTCAATTATCAATACATAGAGGGCAAAATCTAATTTTATGTCATGGAAAAATTTACGGAAAACACTGCACCCATGAACATTGACAAATATAAACAACAGTTCATTTCAAACGAAATGACAGTTTCTAATAAAACTCCCTATAACAACGCGACGAAAATTTAGTGCAACTTAATTGCACAAATAAAATTATTATGATGCTTGAGTAATTTATTTTAGAATCTCAAGAACTAAGTGATGCGTAGGCGAGGAAATTAATGATTGGTCGTTTGCTTAGTCAGACTAGTAGATAATCTGACAGATATTAGATGAGTTATATAATTCCTTACCGTGATTGTTGTCGGTTTTTGGTGTGGAAATATACTTATGATCTAGTTAGGCTAATCACGTGTTCTTGATCTGAGTTGTGCTGAAGTACTATAGAATAAACATTGGAACGGTCACTAGAGTAGATATTCGTTCAGGGTAAAATAACGTCTCATTCGTGCAAACGGGAAAACCGAGCGTTATAAAATCAAGATATCAACAAACCAATAGGATCACGACACCCAAGTCTTACAGCTCAAAAAGGGTTACAAGCACGTATTGCGGCTTCCTACATTTTGGATTGACGAAAAAGTATGCAATACATAATAACAAGATAATCAGTTACTTCGTTATGGATAAATATAGCTAATTTGAACTATTAATGGATTTGTATATAATCACTGGATTACCTGGTATTTTATTTCACAAAACGAATACTATTCTAATCTTAAGATAAGAACGATTTGCATAAAAATAGACACAAACCATCACAATATCAACAAAACAAACTAACTGAATTTATTACAATCCCTCTTGGATCATCTTTCAGCATTTCACCGAAAATAAATGAAGCCTTTGTAAGGCCCATCTTAGACACACCATAAGCATTTTGTGGCCAACCTTTTTCAGAATAAGTGCCATCCTCAGCGGACCTAATTACAGATTTGAACAAAAACCAATTACCCAGTAAATAAATCTAGAAGGATTGAAAACTAATTCAATATTTAGGTGGATATAGTCACCTCGCAAAATAATAGTACTGAAAAATTAACAGGAAATAAATTTAGGAAATCATATACTAAGGACGATAATCGCTCCCATATATGGATCAAAAGAAGCCAATCTAAACTGGTAGTTTAAGATGAAGGTTTTCGTTTTCCAGTCTATCGAAAAACCCATGTTACTTTGGTTATTCAGTGAAAGCTTTAGTAGGAACCAACACCCTACATACTGCTTGAACAGCAATCAGTAAATTTACTGACCGCAACCGCAACGGTTTAGAGTAGCCACCTTTTATACAAATACAACCGGTTATGACAGTAAACAGGATAAAACCTCAAGACTAGTTACTCGATTATTTCTCTGCCATGACTAACATTTAGGAGCTTCATACTTAGTCATTTACTTAGGCCTGCTACCCTACGTGAACCATAGGTCGTCGATCAGGATTCTACAAGCAACTCTGTTCTATGCTCACATTCCCAGTGGTTCACAAGTGCTACTCATGGTCTCGATGTCTGTCTCCAATTTCCGGATCTATGTGTCTTTCGGCCTGCCGTTTTTCCTTCTGACATAAGGATCCTAAGATAGGACTTGCCTTGTGATGCAGCTTAATGATTTTCACAAGTTATGTCCTATCTACCTCTAACGTCTTTTTCTAATTTCCTCTTCATCTGGAAATTAGTTTGTTTCCCGCCACAGTAGGTTACTGATGATTTAGCATGGTAGATAGACCTGAGGTATCGTGCGTAGACAATCATTTATAAATACCTGTACCTTCTTGATGATTGCTGTGGTAGTTCTCCAAGTTTCAACTCCGTACAATAGAACTGTCTTGACATTTGCACTAAAAATTCTGAATCCGACATTGGCTGACAGTTGTTTTGAGTTCCGGATATTCTTCAACTGTAGGGATGCTGTCCTTACTTTGCCAATCCGTGGCTTCACATCTGTATCACATTACCCTTCTTTATCAATAATGCAGTTCCGGTGCGTAAAATTTCCACCTTCTCCAGAGCTTCTCTATCGAGTGCGATTTGGTCGGTGTCGCTGTGCTATATTTTAGGATCTCAGAAAACTTGTCTCACAATAATTTTAACTTTTACTCAACATGATTAAATCGTTAGGATGACCGGAATGTGATATAAGTTTGTCTAGACATTGACCAGATTTTATCTTATTAAGGATATTGCTGACCTCTTTCTGTAACTCGCAACCGTTCTATATTTCAGCTGGAAATTTATCAGATTATATATATGGTTTCAAAGTGTGATTCCGAATTTGGTCGCTTGAACACATGCTCTTTCAATAAACTGATGAGAAAACAGATTTAATGAACACATCATTAAATTGGAGAATTGATTTCACTTTTGTGACTGAAAATAACATATTTTTAGATCTCTGAGACTTGAAAAACAGTAGTTTGGTTATACCTGAAAACTGGACTTCAGTGATAACTTGGACTGAAAACTGAGTTATAACTGGGACCATACAGCTGTAACAAAAAAACTGAAACTTTTAGACCAACGCTGTCGCCACTGTTATTTCGGAAGAAAACCAAAGGTTGTTTCCGTGTGTTGGATCATATTAGGTCAAGTGTGGTCAGATCATAATGGCACGAAAGCAGTTGCATGGTTACTCTCTGATCCGATTATCGGTTAGTCCACCCGTATTCTTAATAGGATTGATGACCTACACTGTCTACATTTATAGACTATAATCGGAATATATCATATTCTACATATGGTTATACTGCTGGGAGGACATCAACCTTACTGGAATCTTCAATCATCTATAATTGTGGATTTTGGTACCAGGCTCAATCAGAACACGCACAAACCTGCTGAATTAAGTAACGTCTCTAATTTTTGTTGTCTTTATAACATTTAACTGGTATATGTTAACATTACTATATGTACTTAATAACTCGGTTATCATTTTTGAGTTCATATATTGTTTGGTACATCACAAAGCAATTAAATCACATACGATCACACAAAAGCAGTCAGTGTTAATAAGCGAATGTTTGACAAGGCCCGAATGTGGCTTGATAAGGACGAATAGATTGTTCTGTTCAGAAACTTGAATAGCCCATGTGTGCGGCAGTATATTTATATGCGGCAATCAACGGGTCATGCTATGTGCGTTCACCGGAAAGGAAGATCAAAGATCATGTTTTAGACAACAGTTTTGTAGTCAGTAACGGCAATTGTACAAGTTATTAGAATTAATTAAAAAAATGCAAAGAATATTAAAAACCAATTACAAATAATTCTATTCTATCGTGTCCTACAACTATTTGACTGTATTCTAAGTTTTTTATATCATTGTGTTAAAAACATAAAATTGCCTTTTGTTTATATGCTTAAGAGCGCTCTTTAAAATGACAGTGGTATTTTACATTGCTAAGCTAATTCTATCACTTTAATCGTTTGTCACGAATTAAGACTGAATTTATTTCAGTTAAAGCAATCAAGAGTACAGTTTATTATGAAAGTAATTTATCATCTGTACCTTTGAGTACATTGGTTCTTTTTGTATATCTTTGCACTTCGGGTTCTAACAATTTACAGTTTCTCACTTTTTTCTGGTCATCAGTTCCTTTTGTCTCTTGGTAGTGTTTGCGTCTAGTTTCTTTACGAAAACCTCTGATTCAATCAGTAAGTCAGCTGTAACGTAGGACCAGACACATATATGCATCGGTCCAAGTTGCCACACCTCATAAGTATAACATGATGAATAACAAATTCATAGTAGTTACTACAATGGTATTGATGTATAAAAGGAAGACTGTGTATAAGGGTATAGTACATGAAGAAAGAATTAGTTCGTTGAAAGAAAGATATAAAGCGACTTTAATCTCACGGTTTGAAGGAAGACAAAGAGTGTATACACCGATGCCATTGTGATCGATTCTGAGCCATGTCACCAAGAGTCTCCAACCATTGGTTACGAAAGTCACGCGGACCCCAACCAAGTAGTCTGCATCTACCAACATGGCTCAAACTAGAAGTTAGTGACTTCAAGCACTGATGACACGTTTTGGTTTGGCCGCCCCTAACCTTCTTCCAACCATCTCCAACACCGGTTAGCATTGCACGTCGTGGTAATCGGTGTTCAGGCATACGTAACACGTGACCCATCCATCTCAGTCGATGAAGATTCACAACCTCATCAATTGATTTACCATCATTCCCTAATACCCTGCGTCTAATCTCACTATTAGTTACCCAGTGATCCCAGAAGACGCCAGCAATATTTCTAAGGCATCTGTGGTCAAATACTAGTAGCTTACGAGTATCTTCTACTCTTAATGACCACGTTTCGCAGCCGTAAAGTAAAACAGAACGAACTGTCGCGCAGTATACTCGTCCCTTAATTGATAGACGGATATCTCGCCTTCGCCATGGGTGATGTAAGTTGGCAATAGCGAAACGAGAATTTCGAATCTGTGCAGAGATGTCGTCAAACATCAATCCATTAAAGCCGATCAGAATTCCCAGATAAACGACGTTGTCAACGCGTCCGGCTACGTCACTCCCTATCCTTAGTTCAGGTGTTGACGCAGACCAGTCCTGAAGCAGCAGCTTGCATTTAGAGGGAGAGAAGCGCATTTCAAACATTCTAGCATTGTTGCTTAGTGCTACCAAAAGACGCTGGATTCTTATCAGATTCTTCACCAAACAGGAATATGTCATCTGCGTATTCTAAGTCGATAAGTGAACCTCCTGGAAGGAGATCAATGCCCGGAGCGTTATTTCCATCAGTATATCTATGACGAATTTGAACAAAAATCAAGATAGTGGACAGCCCCGGCGGACACCACTTGAGGTTGCAAAAGCAGATGACCGTTCGCCATAAGCTCTCACTCGACTTGTAGTATTCGAGTAAGGAGCCTTCACAAGGTTTATGTACTTCTGAGGCACTCCTTTCAATGACAGACGCTGCCACAGAATCTCGCAGTCTACGGAGCTAAATGCTGCTTTTAAGTCAAGAAAGATCACCATTGTCCGACGCCGATAAGTATGCCTGTGTCCTAGAACCTGACGAATGGTGAATATATGGTCGATACAGCCACAACTAGGTTTGAAGCCAGCCTGATTTTCTCGTGTTTGCAGTTAGTTCACGAGTCTTTGTTAGACGACTGATAATTATTGAGGATAGTATTTTAGATGCTATATTAGTCAGACTAATCCCTCTATGGTTATCACAGGATGATTTTCACCCCTTCTTATATATTGGGATAATCAGTGATTGTGACCATTTAGATGGATTACGTCCAACTCCCAGATTTTAGCTAAATATTAGTCAACCTAACAACTTAAATTGGACCACCATTCCTAAAGACCTCTGGAGCCGATCCATCTGAACCAGCTACTCTTCCCCGATTCAGATTGACTACAGCTGTTTGAACTTCAGCTAGAGTTGAGGGATCTACTTTAATGTTCCATTCAGGCTGTCTGGGAATGGTGGGTAGTTGTAGAGTAGATGAATACCAGCTAAATTGTTCTCTAAAGTGTTCCTCCCACCGTTCTGAACGTCTGGGCTGAGAGTAGACAAGAGTTTTGTCCTTTTCCGAGATAGTCTCATTTACACTCGACTTTTTAGTCCCAGTTTCTTTTGAGTCTGAAGAGCTATCTTGTGTTGCCTACAGCCGCTGCCTTTTCTTTCTCTTTTGCTTTCGATGCCCACCACTGCTCACGGTCGTTCCTTAGACTTTTCCTTAACCTAGATCTGATTTGTTGTCGCTCTTCATCGTGTTCAGAGCCTGGTGGGATGAGTTTACGAGAATCCATCAGTGCAATAGACCTAGAAGAAATCCATTGGTTTTTGTAATCCTTTGATTTAAATAACTGATAGATGTCACTGCTGTTTCCACAGCTGTTTGTATATCTTTCCAAGCAACATCTGGGTCAACCTCGTTTTCAGAATTACCTAACCGTGACCTCAGTTGTTCCTGGAACCTACTTTTGGTTTTCTCGCTACTCAATTGAGTTCTAATGGGTCTTTTAAGTGTGGAGTTTTGCGTCCAGTGAGGCGCAAGCAGATGCGTGCCCGTATTAGAGCATGGTCGGAGTCTAAGCAGGTACTCCGGAATGAGCGACAATCTTCTACCGACCCTCTCCAACGATGACTGATGGCAATATGGTCTATTTGAGTCCATCGTTGGCTTGGTGCAGGCGGTCGCCACGTTAGACGATGTCTCTCCTTATGCTTAAAATTTGTGTTTGCTAAAAATAAACGATTGTCTGAGCACAGTTGCAGCAGACGATCACCATTATCTGTTCGCTGTGCCGGAATGCTAAAATATCCACCTAAATGCCTTTCTGTTTGGTTTAAGCTACCTATCTGAGCATTAAAGTCACCCCTTACGAGTACTATGTCTGAGCGTTTAGCTTTCTGAACTTATTCAGAAAGCTTTCTGTAAAATTCATCTTTCACTTCATCTGAGCTGCAGTCGGTGGGAGCGTAGCCAGAAACGACAAAAACGCAACGACGTGTGTCCCTATCCTTTTGAGTTCTTACGGAGCCGTTTAGCCGAACAGCACATAAACGACTGTTAACAGGGATCCACTCTAACAGTGCTTGTTCCGCCCTCATGCTTTGTGCTATCCCTACTCCTGCCAGTCCACGAGAGCTGGCCCTCGAGTCATCAGATACACGGAGGGTGTATCTCGTTGGCTCTCCGTTTTGCCGAGGTGAGGTCAAGTGAATGACCACATTAGGATCCTGTATGCGTGTTTCGAAGACACAGCATACATCAATCGTACGAGATTCTAGAATCTCAGTCAAGGACGCCTGCTGGCCGATTTGACATAGGGTGTGTACGTTGAAGGCTCCAATGTGTAGTTTGGAGCGAGGTTTCAGTAGACCTGGAACAGTGTTTTGCGCACTAGAATCGTTGGCCATGGTGATACTTGAGGAGGAAGCCAAAATAATAAGTTTAGTGTTGAAAGTCGATGTAGGAGGAATAATAGGGACAGAAGAAAGAGGTTGATTATGAATACAGTGGTCTTGAGTGCTGTTAGAGATGTGAGGGTGGTTTTCACTTCCCGGTTGCCCACACCGTGGAAGGGTTCTTCTAGAGGTACTTGAAAAGGAAATTGGATTAGAGGTGGTCTTAATGACCTGAGAATGTGACCGCAGTGCCCAAGGGACAACTGTTTGAGGTCGGTCATACACGACCTTTCTGTGAGTAATTTTTGTGTTAGCTCCGTACTTGTTTAGACCTTACCGCCGGAGACGGATATCCATGGGATAAGACAAGGTGTGCATTTCTAGGGTCGACCTTTTCTAACCCCACCCCTCCTTGTGGGAAGGCAGCATTGCTGTCATGGTGGTTGTCTGAGAGATCCACCTTACTACTGTCACACCTGTGTACACTCAGCAGTACGACTTCACCTTCGGACCTTGGGTTTGTTGCTTTTAGTCTTAACGTTCTTCAACCGACCTGTCTGGTATGGCAGAACCTTGATGAACGAGTGTTCCAGCCAGTTTAACCCGATTGGTTCATCACGATAGGCAAGCCCGACCACCACGTCAAGGTAGCAACGACGGTCGAGACCTCTACCACTACGGGATTTGAGTCGACAACTGCATCTCTGTGCTAATGTGGTATGGCAACTCGAACTGATGTACGTACGTACGAAGTTCTACGTTGTTACTGACTGACTGAAAGATATGATACGGGAAGAAAGAATTAGTTAGCCCTTCTAGGGTTGTTGCCGGTCCCAAGTCCAGATATAGGAGGGTTAGGCATAGCGTCAGCAAACCTATCCCGTAAAAAACAACCATAATGAAAAAACGCTAACCATCAAAAAACCATTTAAACCATTTAGATTCTCCCCTGGGAGTTAAGGGATTTTGGAAACCTAAGGGCAACTGGAAAAGAATACCAACGAACACATAGCGCAGGAAATTGGGGACAGACAATAAAAAAACGAATTGCGATCGGAAACAAGTGGGAAGGAGAGCCCAGACCAAAGTCGGTTGAAGAAACCTAGTGGGCAGTCTATGCTCCACGAGGAGTAACAGGAGTACACAAGTCGTAAGAATATAAAGGAGAGGAATATAATTACCAATCAAGAACGTCGCAGACCAATCTAAGGAAGTGAGTATTTGAACAACGAACTACGAAGTCACGTTAACTCCGAACAAAAATAATTGTTGTCAACGTAAGGAACATAACAAAACCTTTTCAAAAACGGATCATTAGATGACTGAAACGAGGCACTTTTTGTTAACGCCGTGTTACTGGGACATAGACTGGATTAAAGCATGCTCAATGCACGATTGCTTTGGTGCACACTGATTGGCTAATTCTTATCCAATCAGCACCAGTAGATAGTTGGAGAATACTCTAGAATCTTCTCATGTAAAAACTATAAATATACTGACGTTTTTCTCTATTGTGCTTATTACTGGCTTCTTGCTTCCATCTAACCTTGTTATTTGGAATATAATCTCTTTCCTGTTCAATCGTGTTCTGATTTGGGGACTTGTCGAGTGATTTGGTGTCCAAGAATACAAAGCAATAGAAAAAGCTGGGGTCATAACCGTAAAAAAGAGATTATAACACTATCAAAATTAAAACAAAACAACTGTAGGGGAATTTAAATCACTAAAATAATGAACAATCATAAAAGTTCCATATTCGTTATAATTTGATGACAAGTTATGACCCATTATGGATCGATGCGAAACATGAAGGTTAGTAATTCTCAACTCTAGGAAGTCAAAGGATAGGACATCCCTTTGGTTTTGCTAACAATCAGGAAATCCTGTGACAAATGCACCGTAAGTTACAGGGATTTGTTGTGAATAGTGATATAACGTACGGTTTCAATTTTTTTCACTCTTACGTATTCTACAATGGCATGTCAATACGATAAAGAGGCTAGTCACGTTATCAGGATTCAAGATTCACGACTCAGAATAGAGAACCAGATTATACTAGATAATACTTTATTCAATACAACTACAAGTAGTCACGCTCAGTGAGTCCGGAGTAGACATCAATGACAGGAAAGAACGTCACATATTTAATAGTCCGTATGCTAAGTGCCTGTTTGTCCACGCTAAACGACCGATCATATTTTACTTTTACTACTACACATCAAATCGATTACGTAATGCGACTGTGAGATAAGAGTTTGATGACTTTGTATTCATTCTTCAATTACAAAAACACATAAAGGTATCTCATCAGAATGTTATTCCAGCAACCTACTGTGGATTACATACAAAAAAGTTACACCCAAGAGATATGAAAATTTATTTGATGTAACTATGGTAATCTTGGTTGAACTATTTGCTATTGATCTATTATTCCCTAAATTAAAATAAAATGACTTACTTTACAAACTCGGAGACGAGCTTTCGAAGTTCCAAAAGATTTATTGGACTAACGAACTTTTCGTAAAGATCATCACTAAGTTTCTTGAGACTGGTTAGAGAAACAGAACTAGATACATTGACAACCCTGTAAAAATATAAATTAGTATAAATTAGTACCTAGCATGTTTAGCTAACAAAGGAATGAACTCTTCCGTGAAATCAATGGTTGATGTGAAGTTGGTGTTCACTGTAACTCGTGCTTGCTCGCCAAAGGGAGCAGTGGAGTTAACCTTTGAATAATATAAAATAAAAAACGAAAACTTTGTAGGCAAATCCAGCATTATTCACTGCAATGTTGATTCCATTAGGATAGTTTCTCTCTACAAATATTAGGAACGCTTTTCGACTATCTCGATCAGTTATATCTAGTTGATGAAATTTAACATCCAGGCCCTTGTTACTGAGCTTCTCCACAGCTTCCTGACCAAGCTCAACATTTCGAGCTGTTAAATTATCAACCAACAACTTCTTACCTGTTAGATAAATATCCCACTCTCCTGACGTCCCATAAAATTCTGCAAGCTTTTCAACAATGCTATATCCAATGCCTTTGTTTGACCCAGTTACCTAAAGAGGAGTAATATATTGTTTGTAAGATGAGTGAACTAATCACACGAATGCCAGTTTCATTACACTTTTTCAGAATATCACAAGGTCTGAAATTTTAGAAAACAGAAGACATGAAAAATACAGTACGATCCTATTAAGTAGGTTAATATTTAGAAAGATACTAGGTTGACATCATTTAGAATCATAGTTAACTAACGTTTCAATACTAGCAACAAGTAAACTCTCCTGTGGCAGATTGAAGAACGAATTCCCGACCGAAGCTGCTACCTTGATGCGGTGGTCGGGCTTGCCTATCGTGATGACCCAACCGAGCTACATTGGCTGGAACGTATGTTCCTGCAGGTTCTACCATGCCAGGCAGGTCGATTGGTGAACGGTAAGACTAAAAGTAGCAACTCAAGGTTTGAGGGCGAAGTCGTACTGCTGACTGTAGAGGGGTGTGACAGCAGTAAGGTGTTTCCCTCAGACAACCAGCAACTACAGCGATGCTGCCTTCCCACAAGGAGGGGTGGGGTTAGAAAAGGTCGACCCTCAAAATGTCACACCTCACCTTACCTCACGGATTCCCGTCTCCGGCGGTAAGGCCCTTTGAAGAACAGAGCTAACACATTAAAAACCTTCCACGAAAAGGCCGTGCGCGACCGGCCTCAAGCAGTTGTCCCTTGGGCTCTGCGATCACGCTCCCAGGTCGTTAAGACCAACACTAATCCTATTTCCTTTTCAGGTTCCTCAAGAAATACCCTTCCACGGTGTGGGCAGCCGGGAAGTGATATCAGCCCTCATACCCGTAACAGCACACGAGACCAAGTTGGTCACATTCAAATCCCTCCTACACCTCCTAATACCTCTCTTATCTCCATGACTAACCCTCCTCACGTATCTTTATCACCTCGCACCGCTAGGACAAACGATTCGAGTACGCGGAACGCTATTCCCGGTCTCCTGAAACCACGCTCTAAACTACACGTAGAAGCTTTCAACGTCCGAACACTGTGCCAAATAGGACAACAGGCTTCCTTAGCTAGAACTTTAGAATCTCGCGCCATCTATGTGTGCTACGTCTCCGAAACGCGTATACAGGATCCGAGTAGCGTCATTCATTTGACCTCACCATGCCAAAATAAAGAACCGACTCGATTCACACTTCGTGTATCTGGAAGCCCTGATTCTGCTTCCCGTGGCCTCGCCGGCGTAGGTATAGCATTGAGTCCTAGGGCAGAACTAGCTCTCTTAGAGTGGATCCCAGTAAACAGTCGTTTGTGCGCTGTCCGACTAAACGGAACAGTAAAGACTCGGAAAGATAGGGACACTCGTCGTTGCCTCTTCGTCGTCTCTGCCTATTCTCCCACTGACTGCAGCGCAGATGATGTAAAAGATCAGTTTTACAGAAAGCTCTCCAACCTTCTCCGAAAAACTGGGCGCTCTGATGTAGTAATAGTGGCCGGTGACTTTAATGCTCAAGTAGGTAAACTAAGCGATAGGGAAAGACACCTGGGTGGATCTTATAGCATCGTGGCTCAAAGAACAGATAATGGCGACCGTCTGTTGCAGCTATGCTCAGATAGCCGCCAGTTTCTTGAAAATACTAACTTTAAGCATAAGGAAAAACATCTTTGAACATGGCGACCCCCTAATTCGTCCCAACGTTGGACCCAAATAGATCACATCGCTATCAGCCACCGATGGAGGGGCTCGATAGAAGACTGTCGCTCATTCTGGAGCACATGCCTAGATTCAGATCATGCTCTAGTGCGAGCGCGTATTTGCTTGCGTCTTACTGGACGTAGGAAAGATGCTGCAAGGAAACCTCTTAGGGCCCTACTTAATGATAGTCAAGCTAAGAGTATATTTCAGGAACAACTAGGAAAACAGTTAGGCGGCCATGTATGTGATGCCCACCCTGAGGCAGCATGGAATGATGTCCGTAAAGCTGTGGAAACAGCAGTGATATCTGCTAGTAAGGTAAACCAGAAGGTTAGGGAGCAACACTGGATCTAAGCAGCATATATCTCACTGATAAATGCTCGGAAACTCATTCCACCTGGCTCTGAACATAATGAAGAGCGGAGTCAGCTTAAGCGCAAGCTGACAAGAAGTCTACGCAATGATCGCGAACAGTGGTGGGTAGCGAAAGCAAGAGAGATGGAAAAGGCAGCGGCAATAGGTAATAGCAGACAATTGTTTAGACTCGTTAAGGAAACCGGAATTAGGAAACCGACTGTTAGCGAAACAATCTCAGAGAAAGATGGACATATTATTCATTCCCAATCCAGGAGATTGGATCAATGGGCAGAACACTTTAGGGATCAGTTCAACTGGCCTTCAGCCACACTTCGGTTTCCCACGATCTCCAGTCAACCTGAATGGCAAGTTAATGTAAGTCCTCCGTCCCTTTACGAAGTTGAAAAAGCCATAGGAAATCTGAAGCGAGGGAGAGCAGCAGGCCCTGACAGGTTTACTCCTGAGATTTTTAAGGATGGTGGTCCAGTATTAGCAATGAGATTAACTGAGGTCTTAGGTAGAATTTGGGAACTGGACGTAATCCCATCTTATTGGTCTCAATCACTGATTGTGCCAGTTTTTAAGAAAGGACAAAAGTCCTCTTGTGACAATCACAGAGGAATCAGTTTGACAAATATAGTGTCTAAAATATTAGCTTCAATAATACTTCGACGCCTAACTAAAGCTCGTGAAGAGCAGACTAGAGAAAACCAGGCTGGTTTTCGATCTGGACGTGGTTGTATAGATCAGATATTCACACTACGTCAGGTTCTAGAACACAGACACACATTCAGACGCCCCACAATGGTAGTGTTTCTCGACCTTAAGGCGGCATTCGACTCTATTGATCGTGAGGTTCTATGGCAGTGTTTGTCACTGAAAGGAGTACCAAAGAAGTACATTAACCTTATAAAGGCTCTCTGCTCGAACACAACTGGTAGAGTGAGAGCTTATGGCGAACTGTCATCAGAATTGATCACCTCAAGTGGTGTTCGTCAGGGCTGTCCACTTTCCCCATTCTTGTTCAACTTTGTCATTGACGTACTTTTAGAGATAACACTCTCCTCATCTAAATATACAGGGGTTGAACTTCTACCAGGAGGTTCACTTGTTGACTTAGAATATGCTGATGACATAGTTTTATTTGGTGAAGACGCTGACAAAATGCAGTCTTCTGACCACTCTAAGCAACAATGCAAGCATGTTCGGGATGCGATTCTCTCCCTCGAAATGCAAAATGTTGATTCAGGATTGGGTTACATCGACACCCGAACTAGTGATAGGGAGTGAAGTAGTTGAGTGTGTCGACCGCTTCACTTATCTTGGAAGTCTCATCAGCCCTTGTGGTTTAGTGTGTGACGAAATCTCAGCACGGATACAGAAGGCTCGACTAGCTTTTGCCAACTTGCGTCATTTATGGCGTAGGCGAGATATCCGTCTATCAACCAAAGGACGTGTTTACTGCGCAACAGTTCGTTCCGTCCTACTTTATGGCAGTGAAACATGGCCGGTAAGAGTAGAGGATATCCGTAGGTTACTAGTATTTGATCATAGGTGTCTTCGAAACATTGCTCATATATCATGGGACCATCGAGTAAGAAACACAGTTGTTAGGAAACGGGTACTAGGTAAGGATGGCAAATCAATTGATGAAGTAGTGAAACTTCATCAGTTGAGATGGCTGGGACACGTGTTACGTATGCCCAACGACCGACTGCTTCGATGTGCTATGTTCAGTGGTATAGGAGTAGGTTGGAAGAAAGCTAGGTTCGGCCAGACCAAAACATGGCACAAGTCCATGAAGTCACTGACAAGTAGACTGAGTCATATATCGGTAGGTGTAGACTACTTGGTTGGGGACCGCGAGATGATAGCAACCGATGGTTAGAGACCCTGAATGACATGGCTCAAAGTCGTTTGCAATGGCGCAGGTGCATACACTCTTTGTGTTCTTCCAAATTCTAATCTCCTGATTCCTCCTTGTCTCTTTTTTTCTCTTTCCAACTTTACTTCACTGGATTATACTCTTTAAATAACATCTCCAAACCCTAATCTTTCCGATTACTGCTTATACTCTTACTACCTCTACCACTACGGAATTTGAATCGACAACTGCATCTCTGTGCTAATGTGGTATGGCAACTCGAACTGATGTACGTACGTACGAAGTTCTACGTTGTTACTGACTGAAAGAATGATTTGGTTAAGAAAGAGATCCTCACTGTAGCGACCAAGCGGCTTATTAATCAAAAATGCATTATTTCATTATTTTAAATCATATATATTAGTGTAAAGCTATGACAAAAAACTAATTGAAATTTTTTTTGCTCGATCTGTTCTTTTGTTAAAAAGTGCATTTGCCCCCATGTCTAGGTAGTGAACAAGGTGGATACGGACGACAGTTGGCTGACTATTAAAAGTTCGGTTCTGGACTATTTTACTTTTCTAAAAAATCACTAATCATTTTCCTGTAGATGATTTCAGCTCTGCGTCTGATTTGGTCCAGCCGTTGGATACAATAGCTAGCATGATGTGAACACACTACCCCAACACACAGATAAATCCAAACGGCAAGTGCGTTATTTCTGTCCGTTGTTCGCAGAAACACAGTGAAGAGAAAACCTGACTACTTGTATGATCCCTTCAACTTGAATGTCGCAGAAATGTAGGCTGGGTACGGTCAAGCTGAATCCTTTAAGCTTAGGTTGTCAGAAACTCCAGACTCTCCAATCGGAAAGTAAGCCTGTTATTTCTAAAACTTTGTATAAGTTCAAGCAAAGCCGTTATTGCCATCACAAGGTACTTCGGTGCTAAGTAACAGAGCAATTTGGGATGAAAAAGCTTGGTTTAAAGCTATTTTCAGTCTCATGGCTTACCAAAAAATGAATGTAAATATAAAAAGACTTCGAACCATCGTTGCTGAAATGCTAGTGAATATGAGACAGGTGATATTGCTATTAAAAACAACTATATGTGATGATCGAAGGAAATCGGCAGGGGATTATCTATTTTACGGTTCCCTGAAGAAGAATTGGAAGCGTTAGATGTTTTCAACAATGAGATACTCGAGATAAATTTAATTGTCAACTGATTTAGTTTGTAATTGCTTTACTTTTTGAATGTCAATAACTAGGCTGATGAGTAACCAACTAATAATAAGTTATGACTATTTTATATGATATAGTGAAACCAGATTTAGAGACCAAGTTTAAGTTGACGGAAGCTGCCAAAAAAGTTTCAATTTTACGACAGTGTAGAAAGTGAGAATTCTTTTTGTGACCTATTCACATGGTCCATTAGCATGGAAACTCTAAACGTCCAATGTTAGTGAGAAAGATCTTCCCGAAGTTTAGGGTTCTACCTCGACAGGTCACTTTTACTACATGAGAGATTAAGAGAATAAGTGTTATTATAGATAGAAAGGTAACGTAAGTCACAATCCTCACTATTAACTTTTGCTTTTCATTTTTCAGGCACAGGAATTAGCCCTGAATAATATCATTGTAATTCTTACCTTGTAACGAACATTTTACAAAAACCCCTCAATGTGTTGATTGTTGTCCCGTTTCAGAGTTCAAGTGACAAACAGTGCCCCATATTGACAACCGATGGATCGTTGAATTCTATGTTTATATTGTTGCCATTTTTTATAGATAGGCGTTTCTTAAACATAGACCGATATTTCCAATTAGGTCTAGTGCACTGAATAACATTAGATTTAACAAGTAAGTCTACATAAGAGCCATCCCTAGTAAATATATTTATTCAGTAAAACCTGTACAATCCAAACTATTTCTCCCTTTAGATTACAGAAGACAACCATTAATGATGAAAAACTCTTATCAGTTGAAATGTTGTTCGATTGTAATCTGGATATAAATAGTCTTGGAGACTGTAAATCTAATTCATGTGAATAAACGGCTTTTCTCATATGTTATTTTTTAAATAATGTCAACTACACAGGACACCTATGGTATATAGGCGGTCGTAGATTAACCAATGTTAATGTCGGCGAAAAATATGCAGACTGCGAAAATTAAACTATTTAGAAAGCATTCAGGATATTTGATAAGAGCTTAAGCAAAGGTTAAGGTGTCAACTTTAAGATATTTTACTTAAATGGTAATGTCCATATGAAGGCCCGCACTACTTTATCCCTGGAAAAAGGAGTTAGTTTAGTGTATCTTCTCCCAAATTCACCAACTTTTCTTAAGAAATCTCCCAAGTATTCAACAAACTTCATTATTTGCCCTATTCCGTCTGCTTGTACTACCCAAGGATGTATGTATCAGAGAGACTAGCTGAAATCGCATCAGGAATAAGTGATTGAATATCAATGAAGACATAAACACTAACATGAACGTACTGTGTCGTTGAAACAGACAACCACTCGAAAACAGTGACCCTGACCTTAAAATTTTAAGACATTCAAACTCCAAATTTCGATAGCCAAGGTTATCTAAATGGTTTAAATGGTTGTGGAAAGAATAGAAGAAGCTTTCGCTTCACGAGATTCTGTGTCTAGTAGCAGTGAATCATCAATACCTTCAGGCAGGAACCTAGGTATATTAATGATAAAAGAGGAAAAAGAAATTGGTAAGTCATAGTAAGTCCTTAAGAATATGTCAAGTTTACTCACAATGGACTCCTGGAAAGTCGCTCGGGCTAGCTCATCCGGCAGCAAATTACAGCATTTGACTACTCTTAGGTAGTAGAAGTTGTGCCTACAGTCCGTTCTGCTGAATTCTGTCTCCACTTACTGGGTTTTCCCGTTAGGTTTGTGTTGGAGCTAAACTTAAATAGGTGTTTAAGAGGATGTTCAGAAGTGTTGAAACTCCATAAGAAGGTCACTTTTAATACGCTTGTACTCTGACGGGTAAAATTTTAGTGATTGGAGGCACTCTTCATAGGGCTTGAATTTGAGTACCCGAACTGATTTCGTGGCTCGCCGTTGGATATGTTACAGAGTGTCCTTATCCTTTTGAAGTGAGGAAGGAAATAATATGTTTCCTTACTCCAACAAATAAAACGGTTGAAGATTATGTGAAGAGTTCTTCCGTCAAACTGGCCGAAAATGCTCCTCAATGTTACCAGTGCAAGGTTTGCTCGGAAGGCATTTTTTGTCACAGTTAGCGTAAGACTTCAAATCCTAGGGTACCAGTACTCCTAAATCTTCTTCAACTTGGGGTCCTTTAAGAGGGAAGTCGCCTAAGTTGTCTTTTGCGGTTTAGCAAACGAAGAGTGAGGTTCTTGTTGACTGTAGGCTGCTTGTGGATTTTGGGGATCACTTGAGGAACAAACTACTCTGTAGCACACAAGATCGTGTAAAGTAAGGAATCTCAGTGAGCACCTACGCCAAGTTGAGGGTAGACTTCCTAATCCACATACAGCAGATTGTCCCGTAAAGCTGACACACCCAACCGTTTGAAATTTCAGCGCCTATTGTTGGTGGGGTATCTTAGCTCATTTTTGATGACAAAATTAAAATCTTTGATTGCATGATCGCCTTTCCCCAAGGCCCAAGATTGCCAATTAGGAAGTCTTCGTTTGTAAATACCCAGTCTAAGCACGACGGTGCCTGAGTGTTTCTCCAGTGAGTTGCCGGCTTCACATTTTCCATAATCCCAGATCGTCCATGAGGTTGAAAAACCAAGTTTCAGTAGAGCTTTCACCTCCAATATACATATGTTCCGCGAACTTGACATTAGGAAGATTGAAGTCCCCTAGAATCAAGATATGAGTGAATCCGATAGAATTAGAGCTGAACAATACTTTCATCATACGATTGTCGTACTGGATGTCAGCAATAGGCTTCCTGTAGGTGACTCCAACCAGACACCTTGAGGTGGTAGACAATCCTACTGAGCACCATACGGATTCATCAAGATCGACGATCTCTTGGGCATGCACTAGATGTACCGCCAGGCAGGATCGTAAATATAAGGCTACTCCGTCCCCGATTCCTGTTTTTCTGTCATTGAGAAACAAAGATATCCCGTGTATTCCTAGCCGCTAGTCCGTAAACTGAGAAGATATCCAAGTTTCAGATATTCCTACCAGCTTAGCATTATTAGCATTGCTGAGTTCATGAAGCTCATCCCTTTTATTCAGTAAACTTTCAGCGTTCATGTATAAGCAGTTTAAGCCTTCAATTTAGAACGCGTTAACTTCTCCTTCATGTTTGTCTGTATGAGCCTTACAAGATTGGACAGGTAGCCTACCTATAAAAGGCTTTCCAAGTAGATAGTCCCTGTCCTTTCCACGTTTTTCCTTATCTAAACAGTTCACAAGTGGAATGATCAGCTCCCGTTTGACTTAACATTTGATCATGGTGTCATGTGGCCTATCCGAATGCACATAGATACACATTGGCGACGGACGTCTGTTGGCACGAAATGTTTTCAGAGTTGCAGCCGCCATATGGGAGGATGGGAAGGTTATCTTCGTCAGTCGGGGTCTAGAATCTCCGTCCTTCTTGGTTAGTCTCCCCCAATTGTTGAGTCACTGTGTGGTTGATGAATTTCCATTTCCGCATAACAGAGTTGGTGTGGTCAGGGTTCGTGTTTCCCAGTACACCTTCACAATGATACTTCTTTCGCGGAAAAACTTCCCTCGAGATTCCTTAGGGATGGTCCGGAGGAGATCACCCTCAAAATACGGTATATCAGGCAGTGTTCTTACGTTCGCACCTGATTTCAGTAAGTGACTAACCAGTAGGATATCCACTACGTCGATAGCGTTAGTGAGTTTTACACGAAGTAGTGTTGTGTGATTTTGTTGCTTTCTCGGGTGAGCTGTGTGACCGTCAAAGGCTCTATTTCGGGAAGTTCAAGGTTGTTGTTTAACACTTCCAAGAGCATCCTACCATACTTGTTCTGCAAACTGAGGGGAAGGTCAGGCCTGTATATTATGTCCAAGATTATGAAAGAATCATTGCGAATCGTTATTGTTTTTTCAGGGTCTTCAGGTACGTTCATGCTGAGGACCTTGTTGCTTGTGATTCGTAGCGCGTTTCCGGTTGGACATTCTTGAAGGCAAACTGTTAGGCCAAATCACCAGCTGATTTCACCACAATATTCAGCTCCTTAGACGGTGACGCCCGGACCTCTTTAACTTTGTTAACGAGGTTCCAATCACTCACAGAGTTTTTAGGAATCACCGTTGCATTCATGGATCGTGTGCAAGGAGACCCAAGTCTACTGAGGCAGTCTGGTACCGTCGATATTGTGATGGTGCTGAGTTTCAGCATGTCTTCACTAGTGCTATTACGTGCTCCATCGATATTAGTGATTTTTAGATCCCCTTTCTTGTTTACATTGCGCGTCATTGATTGTAAAACCGTTTTTCGGACGATCTTTTTTCAAGTTTGCTGGCAATTTATTCCGCAGACCTGTCAAGAGAATGATGTTGCTCAGCAAAACTTCCGCATTCGTGTTGCAAGTGACACACACCCATTTATGATCCAACTTACTGAGCCTGCTGTGAGCAGTTACTTTAAGGTCTGTATACGCTTCATGGAACTAACCTTTGCAATTGTCACATTGCATGCCAGATGTAACAGAGAAATAGCAACCGGGTCGATTGCTTGAATTCTTCACGACCTTAATGACGTAAATGGTCATATGGATTCTAGAAAAAGTCTACGACCGTAAAACAAAAAACAGTACACTAAACGCGAATAAAAACGGATGGTACAAAAAGTTGGGATAAACTGAAACTAGCCTTGACGTGAAAAACTGGGAAACAGAATAATAAGCTGAGGCAAAACCACAGTTAAACATTAGGTTGGGTAAAATGCAAAAAGAATTGTAATCTACCGAACGTAAAGCTCATAACAGATTCTTTAGATCAGAAATGGCAAATGACGACAGGACGCAACTTCCGGTTCGTAAAGTTATTTACTCGTCAAGATCGTAAAAATTGTGGTCCTTGTTACATTCATTCTGAAACTGTGTGGTAAAATGGGTCGTTAGTAGTGGCTGTGTTCATGGGGAAACACTTTCAGTACCCATAGGATCAAAGTGAGCATCTAGGTTTCTTCTGAAAGACTCCGTAAATGTTTAAAGTTTTATTTTCTCTCATAAAGAGTTCCAGTTTAGCTATCCTGACTGCTGAAAAGTTTTCACGACCTTCTATCCTAGATGAATATCCTCTTCCAATATCCTTTATCTTTAGGACGATTTTACATTAACTGATTGATTTTTCGGAGCGCGCTACTCTTTCTTTGGGTACGGATACAGGCCTTTGAATATAGTGATCTAATAATGAAATGTGAAAGACATCTGTTGGAATGAAGAGGATTATGAGAGATATAATAAATCAAGATCATACTCCCACACTAATTCTTCCACAAGTGAGGATCGGTCGGTGCAACTGCTTTTCAGACCATATCAGCAACAAACTCGACTAAATTGACAGCATGACCACTACTCCGATCAGAGTGGAAAGGACGTTGTCTGACTGTTATAATCACCGTACGTAAAGACAGGGTCCAAGAAAAAAGAGGAGTTTTGCAGATCATATTTCGTAAGATTTCCAAAATAAAGGTGGAGAGATTGGAGTCTTCAGTAGTTTTTTCGATAGACGATGTTTTTCGTCGCCCCACTTCTAAATTTCAATTGCAGATGCCACAGGTATTTGGAGTTTGACAACGCTTTAACCACTAACACTTTCTAATTTGAATCGTATCCATCAAGTGAAATAAAAAGACAGAAGCGAGGAGGTTCGAAGATATATTTGATATGCTATCAATATATCGAGGATTGATTGATCTAGACTGGCTAGCGATTGCATGGGATGTTGAGCACGGCGTTCCCACTCGTGATCTGGTGCGGCGACATGACCGAGCGCCTTCTGCTAGGTGAGTTCATTAAAACTAATATGGTCAGCACTCAATGTCGAAGACCTAAGGAGCTATTTATTTTAGGGATTTATTTGCCGCTACACAATAATTAATAAAAGATGCATTAAAATCACCTACCGTAAGGCTGATTGTTATGACCAATGGCCTTATACAATAATGAGTGCTTCGCACAATACAGGATTCTCCGCCCCGCGTATTTAACGAAGTTTCCTTTACAAAACAAAACGAAAGTATCGAAATTACTTATCTGCTTACTTACGCCTGAAACCCCTCGTGGAGGAGAGTAGGCCTCTCCTCACCATCCTCCATACAACTTTATCCTGGGAAATCCTTTCCAGTCCTTTCCACTTGCTATTCATTCTTTACATGTCTGATTCTAATTCTCGGTGCAGTGTGTTCTTTGGTGTTCCTCTTCCCCATTTTTATTCAGGATTCCAAGTTAGCTCTTGCTTCGTGGTGCAGTTTGATGATTTCCCCAATGTGTGTTCTATCCACTTCCAACGTCGTTTCCCAATTTCCTCTCCAGGTAGAAGCTAGTTTATTCTCTC